GCTCCTTATTAGGTTACAGAAGCTAAAATCTTTCAATTTTGCCTTCAGCCAGACTTGAACTGTTGACCTTGACTGTGGAGGGTATGGGAGCTTAACCACTAAGCTATGGGACCCACACCCTATAGTTATAATATCATATAACTAAATTTGTTAATTAGTTAATTAAATTAAAAAAATTAAAATAAGTTAGTTTGAATAAACAGAATATCTTATAATTAAAGTATTTAATAATTTAGTTGTTTAGTTGTTTTTAAAATTTTTTAAATCAACTAGTTAAAAGTTGTTAACTAGTTAATTTTTATTAATTATTTAAATTACTAAATATATTATCTTAAATAAAAGTTTAAACCATTTATACAAAATATAATAGTATATATAAATAGATAAATATTAAAATCAGTATTGTATAAAACTTTAGTACAAAGCTATAATAAAACTATTAAGCATATAATATATATATATTTTTTTATAGTTAAAGTTTCTATCTTGGAGATGCAATATTTTTATTCAAGTATATTAGGACATGACATGCTACCAGAAGCTCATTTTATATTGAAGATTACAACTAGTCACATGTGCATTTTTGGTGTCTAATTTAAGTAGTCTGCTTACATATTGCTATATAAGTTCTATACTAGTTGCCATATCTGCAAGCTAACTAAAAGTCTTGCCTATTTAAACTCTTTGCATATGCAATCCTTTTTGTATCATAAGAACATCTCAAAACTACACCCATCCAAGTTCTTGATGCTTGTTGTTACCCTTAGAACTAATTTATTTTTAATAGAAAACTTACTAGAGTTTTTATGTTCTATACATATAAACCTAGTTTTATGCAATATGCTATAGTTATTTAACACTTGCAATCACAAAGGTTATCTGTTTAACTATTACATTACACTATTTTTACCTTTGTAAAGTTTACTAAAACCCTAGTACTTATCTTCTTAGCATCTTTATTATCTCTTACTAGTTACAACTTAAAACTGACAGTCTTATTCCAGACTATTAATTCAGATAGCCTAATATGATATACTTCTGTATCTTTTTTCTTTAACAAATCTGATAGCCTAGTTGATTATATGTTTCTTTATACATATTTAATATCCAGTTTTAATCTTTAGTTTCTATAAAGATGTTTTGTAGGCTTTAACCAGTTCAATGATACTATCAAAAGTTCATTATACCTCTTTATTTAGGAATTTCTAAATGGGTTTTTGTCATCTTAGTTTTTTAGTTTTCTATACTCGATGGTCTTATTGTGAGTTTGTACTAAAGTCTTATATAATACTAGTTATATATTTCTTTATATATATGTAATATTATATTTTGCATAGATGCCTGAGCTTTCAATGTTAGTAAAACCTAACTTGGTGTATCTGAATTACAGCCACATGAGACCAACTGATTGACAGGAGACAGTTATCATTATACAGATATAATTTCCAAATTTCATTATAAATAGAATTTGAACCTTAAACCTAGCACTTGAAGGATGACAACCCAATCATTATACTAGAATTGCCATTCTCTTAAGCATATAATATTAAGAAACTAGAGAATAAAATCTTATTTAAAAATTACAAAAAAAAATAATAATATGAATTTTTAATGATATTACTAAACTAATAAAAGTTATAAACTAAATAACAAATATGTATAAAGAAATATATAACTAACCAGACTATTAGAATTCATTAAAGAAAAAAAATTTTTAATCATATATTAAGAACTTAAAAACAAGTTTACTAAACTATTTAAATTAGTAATTTAAAAAAATCAAATTTAGAGTAAAGAAAATCAGATTCAAAATAAAAAAAAGATATTAAAAAGATAGATACTAAGATTTTGATATACTTTATAAAATTAAAAATATTATAATAATAGTAATTTAACAATTATTTGTAATTACAAGTGTTAGCTTAACTATAGTATGTTATATAAAATTAGGTCAACTGTATATAATATATAAAAACTCTAGTAAGTCTTTTGTTAAAAATAAAATAATTTTAAGAATACTGATAAAGATTAGAAACTTAAATGAATGATGCATTAAAATTGTTTTTGTAACATAAATTAAATTATATATGCAAAGGTTTTAAATAGACAAGATCTGTAATTGACTTGCAGAGTATAACATTTAATGTAAAACCTATATACGTAGTAATGTATAGACAGACTAATTAAATTAAGCACTAAAAGTGCATGTGTAACTAGCTGTAATCTCCTATGTAAGGGATTTTTTAGAGGTTCTTGTATTCATAATAACTTAAATAAAATCACTTTTCAAAGACAGAAACTTTAACAACAAAAAAAAAATATTTATTAAAAAGCTTGAGTTTTTAACTTGTTTTCAGAGTAATATTATTTAAATGAATGTTAAAAAGAGTTGTTTAAATCAATATTTAAATGTTTGCCTTATTTAATAATATATAGTAGACTTATTTTTATTAAAATACACTGTTTTTATTTTATATAATAAGATTATTAGTATAACTTTAATTTTGTTTATTCAAGTTAAAATAAGAGCTAGGTGCTGAAAAAAGGGCCGAAAATGACAATTTTTTTACATAAATCAATTTAGAATTAAATTAGAATCATTTTTTACTTAAAATATGAAAGTAGTTGTATTAATAAAGTTTTGCAGTATAGCTCTTTAAAGTTTGCATTTTTTTATAATTTATTATAAGATTTATAATACAAAAATTGATTTCCGAAGATTTTTTTTTTGTCATTTTCATAATATTTGCTAATTTGTATTTATTATTATTATTATTCTACTATATAGATTAGCAAATTCGCCTATTTTTATTGTATATAACTTTTAATCTTAACTAGTTTTAGCAAAATTTGATTTTTTTAATTTATACAATTCTTTTAATAAATACTACAAGACTATTTAAAATAAAAGATTCTATAACATCACTGCCATATTGTATAATATTAGAATTTTTTGAGTTTCAAATTGACACTACGTATCGCTATAGTCAAACAGGCAATTTAGTATAATACGATAATTCCAAAACCTGTAAACATACGTACCTGAAAACAACCTTCGATGTCGATACATTGGATAATACTAAATAAACCATATTCAACATTCTTATTTATATATTAATAGTTTTTTTCAGAACAATCCAAAATCAGATATATCAGATATGCAAGATTTATTTATGTTTTGTTACGGATTGTAGTCACCTATAATTTGACAATAACGAAATTAAATAGCAAAATAAATATTAGAAAAACGAAACATTAAGAATAGTGTTGTGGAACAAAATGTTTTCAGGGAAATGATTGTCGAAAAAAAAAAATAATATGAACCCATTGGTCTAATTTATATACGTATTACAAGAATTTTCCAATTAATAAGGTAATAAATACGTATTTGTGTAAAAATCGGCTATATAGAAAGCTTTTAAGCGTTCTACTAGCTTACAAAAAAAAAATAAATGAATTTTTCTAATAAAACTAATAAAACATGTAGTTCGATGTAAGTTCATACTGTAAGAGATCTATCAGGTTAGAACAATTGGTTCATTATAATGAATCTCCTCATAGCACTACATAACATAATAATAAAGATTTTAAATTGTGTTGGCGTTACATATAAGGGGTCAGTTATAGGAAGGGTTATGTTTTATGTGCAGCAACCCGTTGATCCCAAAATTCTGTCATTACCAATAACAACGTAATATTCTGATTACCAGCATTCATCTTAATGTAGCCAAGATCGATGACAAGATAATGAATGATGGTAAGATGAATTGCCGTGTGCCGTGATAGTTAATTTCGGAATAATGAAAATTATGAATTGACTGATTTTTTTAATTTTTTACAAGTGTCTCGATATTGGAATTTAATTGGAGATTATAATTAGATGAATTTACAATTATGAAACAGAAAATCGGAAAATGCAGACTAAGCCGACCAAGTCTAATAACCTTTATTGGCTACAATTATTAAACTGTATTCATTAAAAATGTGCTGTGGCCAGTTTATTTTTTTGATCACCAATTTGAATTTATAACATCTGATATCGGTATATGGGTTTTGCAGATGCGTACCTCATAAATATCTGATGATTTAAGGTACCTACATACCTGATATATCTAATGAATTATACATATGCATGTGAAATGTGGAGTGACATTATAGATTTTTGGAAACGGCTGCCAATTTTGTCCGAACAAAAGATTAGGCTTGGCACGATTCTCTTGTAGTTACACACAATGGACATTTTTAGTATGATTTTTCCTTAAAAAATGTTTAAAAACAGTAATTATTTATCGATTTTCCGATTATTTTAATTTTGAAGAAAGTAACTACGTCATCAATGTTCCCATGACTGGACCGGAGAAATCTCTATAACATCCGCATCTATGCATAAAAGAATAAATAAGGTGATACGCGTGTTACGTATTGTTGATCGAACAAACAAAACAAGTAAAATTTGCTCGTCATCACATATAAATTATAAATAAATCAAGTTTATAGTGTATCATATATGCAGAATTAATTCCCTTTTCCTATCTTTAGCATTCATGCAAAATGTAGTATAATTATTATTCAAGCATAATTCGGCATAGGGTATATAGAATGGTTTCCATTTAACGTAAATTGGTTTATTACAATGTTACCATCATTTACCAGAAACACTATCTTCATTTTTATTTTATTTTATATTGTCTTTATTTCTATAATTCTAAAATTCATAATCTCATCAAAAACATATCGAGAACCACCAAGGCATTATGGACGAGGTTTATGTACACCCAGATCGTGGTGCCTCGCTTCGACGTAATAAAACTTTCACTAGACCAGAACGATATCAACCCGCGGCTCCTCTACTTACTGGTAAAAAAGAGAGTAAGCCATTCGATTTATGGGTACTATTTTCTCGTATCGTTACTTTTTGGGCACCAAGCATACTATTATCAAAATGCGGAGGTTTTCCTGACAAACAATCACAACAAGCTTGGCGTGAAAAGTTCGCTCTATGCTTTATCGCACTCATTATGGGCGCTATGGTTGCTTTCTTAACAGTAGGCTTTCGGCCGGTTCTATGTCCTACTGATTCCGCAAATAACTCTGACCACTTTTTACATTATGGTACAAACCCAAGTATGTGTCAAGATTACACTTGTTAAATAACTAATATTTTTTTAACTAAAAGTCTTTCTTTTTTCAAGATCATCTCGGAATCTTGGGTTGGCAATTTGATATAAGTAGTGCTAAATCTCCTCTTCCTTTTAATTTTACTGACAAAGCACGCCAAAAAAATGGTCTAGACATAACAAATTTTTTCAAAAGGGATAATTCTGAAATAGCTAGTTGTCAACTTAATTCAATCAAAAAATTCGCAGCTGTCATTCAACCTCTTTGTTCTAATTCTAGCAGTCCTACAAGTTGTCCTCTTGATAAATTAACCTTTCCAGCATTGCAAACTTATAATCTAAAAAATACTTCAAAACGTGTTGGATTTGATTATGGGGATCTTGGCTCTCCAGAGTTAAAAAATTACTTTGTTATTGATGGTGCTGTACTTAACTTGGATCCATATATTAGTGCAAATCCAAATCCATTACAGAACGATTTACTTGATAAAATGATTCGTAGTGTCCTGAATTCCCCACATCCATCAAATGGAAAGGATGTTACTCAACTAATTTTTGGAAAAGATTCAACAAAACAAGCTATGAAATGTCTTATTGAAAAATACTATGCTGGGAATATCGATAAACAAACAATTGGATGTTTTACTGCTGATGTTTTTAATTACATAATGTTAGTAGTTATTTTAGGAGTCGTAATGGTTCGATTTTTAATGGCTTGCATTTTCAATTGGTTTATTTCTTTCCGTCTCGCTCATGAACCAATTGAACCAAAGAAACAAAAGCAGCAAACAGTATCACAAGCATTTGGAAGACGTACGGCACCATCACCATGGATACATCGCAATGCTGGCACTGCTACAAAATCTATTAATTTGGATAAAATTGGGAATGATCTTTTCACCGTCTTACTCGTAACTTGTTATTCAGAAGGAAAAGAAGGTTTACGCCTTACATGCGAGTCTATGGCTGCAACTGAATATCCTGATGAACGTAAATTGTTATTCCTTGTATGTGACGGCATAATAACAGGTAGTGGTAATGACAAAAGTACACCTGAGCTTTGCATTGAACTTATGGAACTCGATCCAGATTTTGAGGATCCTCTGCCTCAAAGTTATATTGCAGTTGCTGCCGGTTTTAAACAATATAATGAAGCCAAAGTTTACGTTGGACATTATAGTATGTATGCTTTATTACATTTCGACATTACATATACTGCTACCACCATATAGTTAGTCATCTCTCTTAAAAGTGCATCATATAAAAAATTTCTATCACATTTGCTTTAAACAAAATTTTTATAAAGCATATTGAAAAAAATTACTTTTATATTTAAGCACACATTTTTTAAGAATTCCTTATTTAATCAAAACTGTGTGATTACAGAAAATGATGTTTATATAATTGATGTTTTTTTTTTTAATACTTATTTTTTAATACTTATTTTTACATTTTTTTATGGTCTATAGTATACAATGAACGGCGAATACCAATGATAACAGTTGTAAAGGTTGGTAATCCAGACGAAAAAAACCAACCGAAACAGGGTAACCGTGGAAAACGTGACTCGCAATTGATTCTCATGAATTTCTTTAGTCGGGTTACTTACAATGATCGTATGACTCCATTGGACTATGATTTATTCAGGAAGGTTCAACATGTAATGGGCGTGACGCCGGACTTTTTTGAAACTGTATTGATGGTTCGTAAATATTATAGTTTTTTTTTTTCATCTTTTAGTCATATAATATTAACATTATTCTATTAACATCTATTTCGGGAAAAAGGTTGATGCTGATACCAAAGTTTATCCGGATTCTTTAAGATTATTAATTAACTGTATGTGCAATGATCGACTTATCATGGGCCTTTGTGGTGAGACAAGGATTGCAAATAAACGACATTCTTGGGTTACAGCTATTCAAGTTTTCGAATATTACATTTCCCATCATTTGGGCAAAGGTTTTGAATCAGTATTTGGTGGTGTTACTTGTTTACCCGGATGTTTCTGTATGTATAGACTTAAAGCTCGTAAGGGTGATGATGATTGGGTTCCAATTATTACAAAACCGGAGATAGTTCAAGAATATTCTCAAAATATTGTTAACACTTTACATCAGAAAAATTTGTTGCTTCTTGGTGAAGATCGTTTTTTAACTACCCTTATGCTACGAAACTTCCCATACCGAAAGATGACATTCTGTCCGCAAGCTGTTTGCAAGACTGTTGTCCCTGAGGAATTTAGCGTTTTACTTTCCCAACGTCGTCGTTGGATTAATTCAACAATACATAATTTAATGGAACTAGTCCTTGTTCGTAATCTTTGTGGAACATTCTGTTTTTCTATGCAATTTGTTGTATTTTTGGAGTTGATGGGTACCGTAGTTCTGCCAGTTGCTATCATATTAACAATTGTATTGATTGTTTCGAGCGCTCTTCATCCTCCAAGTGATTTCGCAGAAGCCATTCCATTACTGATGTTATCGGCAGTACTCGGTTTACCAGCCATATTAATTTTGATTACTACGCGAAAACTTGTTTATATTGCATGGATGGTGATTTATTTATTAGCTTTACCCATATGGAATTTTGTTCTCCCAACATATGCATACTGGCATTTTGATGATTTCTCATGGGGTGAAACAAGGTTTGTTTAATCTGTAATTGAATCAAATAACATTATTATCTACTTTATATAAATTGTACAATTTATATTAATTTCTCTTTCTTTCGATAAAATAGAAAAGTTGAAGGTGAGGCAAAAGGTGATAGTCATGGTGGAGCAGGTGGTCGGTTTGATCCATCCAAAGTTCCATTTAAGCGCTGGGAAGATTGGGAACGTAATAGGCGTCGTAAATTGAAACGTCAAGAACGTCAACGTCAACAAACATTACCGGATACACCATATTCAAGTGAGCAAATGAATGATAGTGATTACAGTTTACTTCGGGTTAATGATACTTATGATAGATCATCAGTTGTCTCACATGGTTCTACACAAGATATCGGACAACATCAAAACTTTTATGATTATTCTCCTAATATTGACAATAAAGAGTCTCATCCAAAAAAGCGTCATGAATTTTATCAACAACCTCAACAATCGCAAGTGGAAAATTTACGGCTTATTAACAATGATGGATCTGAGACGAGTTTAGCAAGTGGTGACTCCAATCATGGTAAAGGTCGTTATTAGCATATTTAAGGGACTCTAAGATATCATTTGGTTTAATAGCAAAAACTTTGGGAACATTCTTCCTATTCATGTATATACATATATATAGTAATTAGTTTAAAAGTTTGAATTGAATGAATGATTTATCGATATGCATTAATGTATTTTAAGATTCATTTATAGACTTGCATACCAAAATTAATCTATTTACCATTATATATTTCATAATGCTAAATAACAAAAAATTATATAATTTATTAAAATTTAGTTGAAATATTAGATAAAAAATAATCGTCCTGAAATACATTTATATGTATGTCACATTTAATTTTGATTAGTTTTGAGATTATATCGTTTTTTTTTACTTATAAAAAAAACTTTAAAAAATATGAAATTTACTAATGTAGTAAATAGTCATTAAAGGTTACATATATATTATTGAAGTTCTAAAGTACTCGAGCCATATGGGTGTGATGAATCATCGCATATGACAAATAAAAAATTGCTAATTAATGATATTAGTTAATCTTGATTCGTCATGCAAATGATTTATCACACCCAAAATTGCAATTAATTGGCTCATCGTGGCTGCGCCACCAATCAATTGCAGTTAATAACGGAAATTAATTTCATAATAATGGTATTATCCGGTATCTTACGACAACCGATAGCACGAGTTCTTTTGATGTCATCAGTTATTTGATGATGACGCAATCATCATCAAAATAACTCGTGTTATTCTGTTGGTACGATCATAGTAAGGTGATAATCATGCGTAACTATATCGGAACCATCTACGAATTTTAACGATCGCTACTGTTTACTCAAGTTATATATTTATATATAACTTTAAGAATTGTAAAATATCCGAGATTATACTTGAAAAATATATACTATGCAAATACTTGGGTATTTAAGGGTAGAAGGTACTATTTTAAAATTATATATAAACTTAATGGTAAGTTTTTTTTTATATTTAATTTTATAAACAATTGTACGTATTAACTAATTTTAATTAAGAAAAGTTTGTAGAACATGATTTTTTTAATTCTAATGGCAGTAAAATCAATTGATTGAAAATTTAGTTTTTTTTTTTTTGGTGTTAAGGTGATTGAAAACTTAGTAAAATATAATTTTTTAAAAAATTAAATATAAAAATTTATTAATAAAATTATAAATTAATATAAATTAGTTAATCAAATTTGGCAAGTTTATGTAATCTTTAGAAAATTTGAATCAACCTAAAAAACAAAAATAATATAATAGTTCAAAATTTTATTATATTGATAAATTATTTTTTATATATATTTTATAAAATTTTGGTCAAAATTAGTTGCAATTATAAAAAGTTTTATTAGTAGTACATTTTTATAGTAAATGGAATATTTATTTCTAATAATTTTTGTAATTAATGTTATACAAATATTTATATAAAATAATAGTATAAAATTAAAAGTTTTATGTATTTTTTTTTTAACTTTGGTAGTCACAATGGTTAACCAGTTAAAAGTTTATTTATAAATGTTTAATATAAACAAAATACAAATATAATTATATCTAATTTCTTGTGTCATTATTATGCAGTTATCCTAATTGGCACCTATAAGTAACCTGTTACACCAGACCTGCTAAAGTCTGAATTGAGCTTGTCTGTCTGTTACCTTACAATTGAACAGCATCAATCTAATATCATTTATTCATAAGAAGATAAAAAAATATAAAAAAACTTCTTATTAAAAAAGGAATATACTAAAAAAAATATATATAAAGGATAAATATAAAAAAAAACAAATATTAAGAAATAAAAGAGAAGTGAGTAGTTAATGAAGACCAGACAAACAGTTATTAATTAGAAAGACTATATTGGTCTACTAAAAATTATGTTACTAAATACAGAAATCTTTACTTTAACTTTATCTAATTAATATATTTAATACTAAAGATATAATAATTTAGTAAAATAGATAAGTTGTCAACCTTTCAAGTATTAGGTAGCAAGTTCAAAACCTATAAACAGTGATAATTTGGATAATCTCTTATGTAATATATAGGTAGTATTATGATGATAATATTCTGTTAATCAGTTAAAATAAGATATCTGTAACTATAGTCATACTAGCATAACTAACAGGTTATAAAGCATTTGTGCAATATTGAAATTATACAAAAGAATGCAAACTAGTATTGAATAATGCAAATCCAAGATAAGTCTTTGTGGCTGTATAAATTTGTAAAACTAAAAAACCAGAGTTTACTTAGAAAAACCTGAGTAGAGAGGTAGTATAGATCTTTGATAATACTATTATAAAGACTAAACCTAGGAAATAAATATCAATATAGAAGATATTGGACAGACAAAAATCTTAAATGAGAGGTATTACTAACTAAACTATCAGAAGTCTTAAATCAGAAGAAAAAATTTTAAGAAGCAAACTTTTAGAATATCAGAAACAAGATACCATCCTTTTGGGCTATTTGGATTAGAAGTCTGAGATTTAAAGCAGGATATAGCTAAGTATTAGAAATATGTTATAAAGTCAGTACTAGGGATTTGGTAAACTTTATAAGAGCAAGCCTTATTAGCAAAGATTAAATATAGATAGTTAGTTAGTAGAAGAGTCTTTTGAAACTTTACAATTAGATGATGTATTCTGAAATATGTAATGACTTGATGAACATACTGTTACAAAGTAGATTTTTAGCATAGCATAGTATATTATATTATTAGTAGTTGTTATATATTTATTATTGTA